ATCCTTTCTCTTTAGCAAGTACGGTTGTAGGTTGTCTTTTGGTGGTCTGTTTGCTGTGCTCGCTCAGGAAATCAGGCCTCATATATGGCCCCCGATAGTATGAGAGCATGCCATTCCCATTCAGAGATGAGAGCTTAAAAGTTCAGACAGGCGGGCCAGGGATTTAGCTCAGTGGTTCCACCACACACTCTGAAAGCTCAATGGACTGAGTTCAATCCCTGGTACCAAAAGAAAGAAAAAAAGTTCAGACAGACAAAGCCAGTCAGAAAATGAAAATGGGCCTTGGAAATAATTGCTTCCAGGAAAAAGAGAAAATATTCACAGGAGCTAAGCTTCAGGTTTAAGACATTTTCAGTGTCCTGTATAGTGTTCTCAACACAGCCCTGCTGGTGACTCCTGAGGGATGTGAAAAGGGACCTGATGGGGAATCTTTTTGGGCCCCATAATTTTGTTTGTCCTGTGGGGGGTGGGAGGCAGAAAGAGAACATTCATTATGCACTCAACATTTAATTCATTTAATTTAATTCATTCTTTCAGTGTCTGCCTACAGTGGGCAGCTATATGAGGTACAGCAATATAGTGGCGGGAAGAGAAGTGATATAGTCTTTGTGGTCATAAAGCCCACCATGAATTTCTAAGATCCAGAATCCTTGGATCTCCAACCTAATGAGACATGACCTTGGAGGAAAATTCTTCACCTAGTTGAGTGACAGACTTCTTTGAGAAACAGCTGAAACCTATGGCCATTGTCCCACCAAGCACCTGTACACACACAGAGTCTTGCACAGTTTCTTAAGTTCATGGCCCTTTTGAAGACCATCTATTGGACTCCAGGTGGCAAACTTCTCTCTCCCAGGTCCATTTCCATCCAGTGGTGTGAAACAGCACTCTAAAGGCCTGGATGACATTGCTTGTGTCTGAAAGTGGCCTCGCAGAGTTCATGTCTTTGTTGAGCCTATTCCATGTCTTGGAGGGAGGGACTTGGATCAGTGTATTCATAACATGATTCAGGAGATGTTGTTTGGAGACCAGGGGGCTCAATAGAAAACATTCTTAATATATTTCCAGTTTGGAAGTCTTTGTTTTAGAGATACAACTGGCCATTGAATATTTGCATCTTGAGTCAGAATAGCTTCTGAGTACCCAAAGTCCCTGTTTCTCAGGAAATGCCACAGACATCCTAGGAGTCCATCCATCCTCCCTCCAGGACTTTGCATCAGGGCCTTTACCACTACTGTGGACTCTAATGTTCTGCACAGAGGCGCTCTGTGGCCCATGGCCTCGCACACCTCACTCTTACTTTCTTACTTATTTTCATGTTGGCTGTGCATCAGCGAGATAGAGAGGTCAGAAAGATGACCCAACTCAGGGTTAGGAGTAGCAGCGAGTGGCTGAGTCTGTGGACACACCATTGTGGCCTCTGTGAAGGCAGCAAGTTTCTTCATGGTTTCCTCTTTCTGTGCTCTGTACCTGGAATGTGGAAATAAAAAATATTACACACCCTGCAGGGTTGTTTTAAGGATAAAATGAGTTAATACTTGTAAAATGCTTGCAATAGTACATAATATGTATTAGCTACTGTTACTGCTGTTGGTATTATTTATAGCCTCCAGGGTAATAATTTGGATTTGCAGAAGTATCAGGGAAGCCGGCTGGAATGTTTTCATGTAATTTGCCAGGGCTTAAATCATACTTGGCCCTGCAGCTTTGGTCGCTTTTAAAGCAAGAACTTAGAGGAGAGGGACTCTGAACACTTGTAGGACAGTAGACCTGGAAGGGAGTGTTTGGCACCGTATTAGCAATTCCTAAGTGTCCACGTGCTGTGAAGCTTAGGAGTTAGACCTTTTTATAAGATTCAGGCAGATGCAAGCTGTGGAATTTTCACTTTGCCCATAGTTTATCTATTTAGCAGCCTTTTGCAGGTACTTGCGATGTGTCAGGCCTGGCTTACGTCTGTCTCCAAGCCTAAGAAGGCGGGCAGTTGAGTTTATCTGTTTCATCCTGGCTTGCCTGGGCCCATGCACACACACTCACTTGTGTGCACACATAATCAACACACTCACACCATGCACGTATGCACACACCATCTATAAAGTTATGTTGGCCGCTGTACACGGAACTCAAGGGATAGTTCTCAAAAGTCTCAGCCTGAATTTGTTGCTCTTGTATTTGCATATTCTGCCTGCCAGAGAGCAAACTAGAATTGATTTTAATAAGAAAAAAACTGCTGCTGAGCTCCAACCCCTGCCCATATACCAGACTTTATTTTTAATCCGGGGTGACAGCAACTCACTGTACCTGGAGCAGGTAGGTAGTTTGCCTCTCTTAGCATTCAGCTGAAGGCTCCCTTGGCAACTTGTCCTCCAAAAGCTGTCGGGGACGCTTCATTTTTCTTTTGTGTGCCGGACAAGGAGAGGCCTCAGAAAGGCTGTCACTCACAGGGACAGGTTCCCTTTGTGAGGTTGGCCAACTGAGCCTGAAGCTGAGAATGTCAGCAAAAAACAAATAGTATTTCAAAAGGGCCTTGTGCATTTCCTTCCTCTTGATTCGCATTGCCTCATCAGCCAGGTGTTGCATGAGGAGGACCAGTTAGACCTGATAAAGAAACCACTGCATGAAAACATGTTTTCTCCATTTTGCCTTGCTCTGGTGTTTGGGTTTTGTTGCTGTTGCTTTTATTTTTTTAGCACCCACTTGCTGATGATGCAAACAGAACAAAAGGAAAATTATTGTCTTTTCAAGCTTCGTTTCTTATTCCTATTTTGTAATTTTCAGAATAAAGGTAGATGATACAGAATTTTATTTGTTCTCTTTCCAGTTTTGTAGTTGTCGGACTCTGTTTTCTAGTGTTTGGAACCTGCTTCCTGCTCTAGAAACAAAAAGATGACAGCTGCAGAATAATGATCCTATGTTTGTCCCCATGAAATAGTTGTTTAGCTGGGCCTCCCCTCTTTCTGCAGGTGCTCTGGGGATTAGAAAGGGACTCCAGACATGTAACAAGGTGGTTCAAAGCATGATTTCTAGCTCTGCCATTTAATAACTGGCTGACTTTGAGAAGTTGTGCATTTTAAGAAGTTCCATTTCTTCACCTTTAACTCATACATATATATCTAAAATTCATGCCTCGGGGTTTTGGTGAAGATGATACACACAGACACGGCAGTAAGGAAGGATAGCCTCTCTGCCATCAGCTCTGGCATGTAGGACCAAGAAATGGGGCTTAGGAGGAGCTTATAGTTTTAGAAAGAAATACTTCCTTAGGCTGCTCACTTCTCTGAGTCTCAATTTTCCTGTTGGTATATAAGCAGTGTTTTCCCAAGCTCATTCTGGACTTACCCAAGGTGAAATCTGGAGTTTAGGTCAAAGCCAGTTCTGTCTGATTCTAGCCCTGGCCCTTAACTAACATGGAGTGGTGGCTGGCACCTGGGCCATGGTCCAGAGACAACATTAGCAGAGCTCCCAGAGAATGGCTGCCACTGAAGACCAAAGAAGTGCTCAGGAAGAATCCAGCAGTTTCAGTATGTTAACTTTCCCAGCTAGGGTTTACTCAAATGCACAATGGGAATAATACAGTCCTAAAAGAATAATGAGTTTTGAGTTTTCAGTTAAGATCTTTGAAATGTTTTGGAATCATTACATACAGGATCAAATAGAATAGAATGATTTTCATGCTCCCAATAGAGATTTTAGATTAATGTCTACAAAGATTTTAGATTAGGCCTACAAAGCTCATAAAACTCTTCCCATTAAATAATCATTTACTCAGCTGATACCTGTCACACTTCATTTTCAATGCCGTTAACTCTTGGGAGTGAAGAGCAGGCCTTGGGGGTATTGATTAGAAGTATGTTTTGGGGCCATTCATTCATTCAACCAATATTTGACAAACACAGCACCAACTTTTGGCCCGCCACTGTTGTGTTAGAGATGTAGTTGCAAGCCAGTAAATGATATATACTTTCACAGAACTGTCCTTCTAAGGAGAGGACACTGACACACACATAACCACTGCACACATAGATGAGCATGTTATTGTGAAGACAAGAGTCGGTGAGGGTAGAGAGAGGCTGGGGCTGGAGTGGAGTGTTCAGGGAAGGACTTGGAGGTGAGAAGTTGCAGAGTTGAAATTCTGAAAACAAAAGTGAACCACCCAGGTGTTTCTCTGAGCATGGAACATTCCACACAGAGGGGAGGGCGGGTATGTGTTCTCCAAGGGGAAGGAGCTCAGAGTGTCTGAGGGAATGGAAGGATAGCTTTGTGCTCAGAGGTCAGCAAGATACTTAGAGGCTAGAGTAGGAAACCAGATCCAGCTTGTACTGGTCTTGACCATGATGAGCAAATTTATTCTGGGTGCAGTTAGAAGCCGTGGGAGGTCATAAGAGGAAGCAATGCCACTTGATTGTGGAAAAATGCTTATAATGAAAGATTAAATGGGAAAGGACTTCCAAATATAGAACTGTGTATTTAGTACTATTTAAACTATACAACTGTGTGTGTGGGGGGGGGTGCATGTCTTATGTAAAATATGTGTTTTCAGTAAACAAATTGGAGGAAGATACAGCAAATGCTGTGGTTTTCTTGATGGTGGTAGGTTTGTTTTCCTCCTTACCTCCCTGAGATTTGGAGTTTTCCATAAGTTTGTGTTATTTTATTTATTTATAGTACTGGGAATCAAACTGGGGACCTTGTGCTTGCAAGGCAGGTGGCGGAACCACTGATCTAAATCCCCAGCCCTGTGTTCTTTGTGTGCTTTTTGAAAGCTTTGTGTAGCAGGCAGTGGTGAGAATGTAGGACTCACAGTACATTAGCATATCTTATCTTAAATTTGAGCTTCAAGCAATGTTGTTTTGAATGCCAGAGTGCATGTTGAAGGCTCTGGTCAGTAGTTTATTCGATTTTTTAAATGAGTCTTCTCTAAAATGAACTTCTGAAGTTTCCATCTGTTTTTTTGTGCAGATTGTTTATTCAAAAGATTCTAACACTTCTGTTTCATCCCATAGATTTGAACATCACATGCCGCTATGCAGGTGTGTTCCACGTGGAGAAAAATGGACGCTACAGCATCTCTCGGACAGAGGCAGCTGACCTCTGCAAGGCTTTCAACACCACCCTGCCCACCATGGCCCAGATGGAGGTGGCTCTCAGCAAGGGCTTTGAGACCTGCAGGTAAGAAACCAGTAAGAAGCCCTACTGGAGAGAGCCAGGGGCCTGGGTGCAGAGGGCCTGGCTCTGGACTGGGAGGCTCCTCCCTGCTAGCTGCATAGATTATTGCCTAAAGAGCCAGCCACACCTATTAATTTGGCCAAATCAACATGGAACCAGTACGAAAACTGGAATTTAAAGCTGGCTAAAGACACCTTGTGAATCATAGAGAGGAAGGCTAGAGGAAGCCATTAAAGGTCATATCGGTCAGAACCCTCTCACCTAATCTGCTTCCACAGCGTTCTCCTGGCTTTGAAGATGCGTCCAATATCATTGTCGGAACCACAAGAAAACCTAAAGCAAATAACAGTGTTTAAAGTAAATACGTGGCTAGTAGAGTCTTGGCCCTGCCGACTTGGATCAAAGCAGACTTTTTAAACATCCCTCTTTTCTCTTCTTCCTCTGCGTTGCTCTGGTCTGAGGAAGTACATACAAGCGCATGAAGTATTGAGATAGATGAGGATGTATTACTGTGACCATCCCTGAGGGGGCTCCTACAAAGTACCTCAGGGCTCTGGAGAGCTTCCCTCATACCATTTTGCTCCAGAAGCATCACAACAGGCTGAGGCCTTATTTTTCTGATTTTTGTGGCACGTGGTCCATGCAGAACAAGCCATGGTGACAAGCGCATAGACAGGTTTGGTTTGGTTTGATTTTATTACGAGTGGTCTTGATGATCCCAGTACTTGCTCTAAGGTGCCCACCCCATCCTGCAACTTAGGGGGACACAGTTCCCCTCTGCCTTCAGGGACCCCACCCCAGCGCTTTTGGAAAGTCAAGCTGCGGTGCTCCGGAGGGAAACTATTCAGTGTAAGTTCAGTGCATCCATCCTCTGTTCTTAATTACAGCATTAGTCACCTACTTGAGGAGCGGCAGCCATGACTCTTCCTAAAAGAGAAGAGGAAAATCTTTAGTATAAAATTAATGTAATAGGATAGCTGCTAGCCACACTTGGCAAATTATGCTTGAATTAATTACAGTGAAATAATACTAAAATGTCAGTGGCACTATCAGCCCCAAATGGCCATGAACTACTGTGTTGAATCACAGACACACACACACACACACACACACAAGCAGGCACATAATTTTCATCATTGAAGAAATTCTCTTGGAGATCAGAAGGAGGTTAAGAGGATCAGAGGAGAAGAGACCACACTCTGGTAGCTACTGAACCTGAGCTGTAAGCAGCAATGAAGGAAGATCAATTAGCAAATTCACTTGCTCTAGTCTTAAGGCTGATTGTTTAAATCTGGTCTAGACTGGGCCACTAGGGTGAGAAAGGGGATTTGGTAAGCTGAATTTTGATAGTGAAACAAGATACACGTGAGGCAAACTGGGTTGACTATAGAGATGTACTGAGAACTGGGAAGCTTTTCTTCTTGCTGCAGGCAGTTGAGGAGCAGGGAGATGGTGGGAGTCCATCTGCTCCCTTGGCTTAATCCGTACACTGTCCTGTGGGTGGATATCACTACCCTACTTCTTGGAGAAAGCAACAGAGGCATACGTAAATTCTGCAACGTGTTCTCTGACTCAGAGACTGCACAGGGAAGAGTCAGGATTGCATCCTCCTTAGTCTGAGCCCGGGAGAAGATTATATATAAAGACCAAGCCCTACCCAGGGACTGAGGGCAAAAGGAGAGGGAAATATGTTGTATGGATTTGTTGAATATTTGCCCTCCCTGCAAATGGTAACCTATTTATGACCCGTCCACACATACGTTTTAATATCCCCAGTTCATGTCAATGTATTTCCACAGGCAGCAGGCAACACATAGCAAAAATTCAACCACAACTTACAAAGGGACTGTATTAGATTCCAGATGTCAGTGTTAGGTGTATTTGTCAATAATGTGATGGAGGAGTAGGTTTATTGAGGAGTCCTGTTTAGAAAAAAAAGAAAAACTGTGCCAAAGAAGTCTATCATTTCACTTATAACTGGCATTAAGTATTGCAAAACTCATTTCCATTACTTTCACTTGGGTAGCCATGAATCAGAGGCCTGCACAGAACAAATGGCAGAGTCTCACAGGAGAGGATAAAACCTCAGCAGCTACTTCTCTTTGACCTGCCCCACCCTGATTAGTAGCAACTCTCATACAGGAAAACTTATTAACACTTAATTGTATCCCTCCCCCTATTGAGTAAAGGAGACTTTGGGGAAACCAGTCTGACTGCGCTCGTAGGAATTAGTCATGCAAGCTATTGTTGCAACGTAAGACATAATGAGTTCTGGGTGTTTAGAAATATCTAACTCATATATCTTTCTCTGAGTCTTACAGGGCGATACACTCTGGGCCGTTGCCTCTGGCAGGAAGGATTAAAAGGATCTATACTACATGGTTCATTTTAGCCAGCATTGCATTTTCAAAAACCAGCTGGATTTAACTCTTCCCTTCCTGTCCTTCTCCCTTGCAAATGGTATTTTCTCAGCCCACCTTTCAATTTTTGAGTCAGGTTATATTTGGGAAAAAAAATGTGTTATAAGTAAATAAGTGGCCAACAGGATGCTGCTAAAAGCAGCTGGACTCTGTACCACCTTGTGTCTGAAAGGAACTCTGGCTGTCTCATGCTCGCTGAAACTTCTGTGTAGGGAGCAAGGGACTAAATGTTTTACTAGCTGTGCTGCTTCTGTAGTGTTACTGAGCAGAACAAGGCATTGCCGTCTGCTCACTTACTTGCGATTATTCTCATTTTAATGATGGTCAGTTTAGTTCCAGCGGCAATAGAAGTATGCTTGGGATGCTCATAAGGCAAAACATGGTGGTGTTTGGCAAGGGGATAAGGCTTTGTGTTTGGAATAACGGAGAGTGGTGTGAAAGGCGAGGTGAAGCATGAGGTGTGGTGGATGGGAAATGAGGCAGGTCTGAATTTTGTGGGCTGAAATGAAGAACCACCTCTTCCCATCTTAGGAAAGTGGGCCATGCTATGTCTTGTCCAAAAGAGATAAAGGCCCAAGTGAAATTCACATTGTGTTCTCTCTCCTATAACTCAGGGCTTTCTTCTGCTTGTTTAAGCCAACTCAATGCTGCTGAGAGCCAGTTATATTGGAGACTAATTTTTTTCATGAATTTTCTTTCTTTAAAAAAAAAGAAAGAACTGTTCATGCATCTTTAAGTAAAATCACTTTGTCTCTATCTGCCTTTTTGATGTCTTTCACTCTCCTGTATTGCTATCAATGGATTCCAGGTAACTTGGCTGGTGAAAATTCCAGCATCCGTAGGCATGAATGGAAGGAAGCGTTGCATGGCATTAGATGTCACTTGACGGGATCTTGGGGAATTTCTCCTGTAGCCTTGCAGGTTGCTAACCCCTTATTTCTTCTTGGCAGGTACGGGTTCATAGAAGGGCATGTGGTGATCCCCCGGATCACCCCTAACGCCATCTGTGCAGCCAACAACACAGGGGTATACATCCTCCCATCCAACACCTCCCACTACGACACATACTGCTTCAACGCATCAGGTTGGTTCTAAGTGTATTGTCTTTGTGTTGTCCTTGGTGTCGTGGCTGGATGGTAGCAGCTCAATCGTGGCTTGGGTGGAGATGCGTGCGGCAAAGGCGCATTGACTCTCTCTAGCAGAGATGAGATTCCCGTCTCCGTGGTGCCCGTTGGGGGAACAATTGGTAAACAAATAATACTTTACATGATGTCAAAATACACACTTTACTTGATGTCAAAGACAGCTATTGAAAAAAGTAACATATGAAGATATAAAGTGCTAGGAATTTTTTTCCAGAGAAGGTGACCAGGGAAAATAGCCCCTCCATGGATGCATTTAGGGGGGCCCCAATCATAAAGGAGGAGTGAAGCTATTGGCACAAGGGCAGCCAGTGCAAAGCCAGCTTGTAGCAGTGTCTCCTCCTGTTCCAGGGAAGCCAGGGTGGCTGAAGTCCAGTGGGCAGAGGGCACAGTTCAGGAAATGGAGAGCTAAGTCAGAGGCCAGATCACCTAAGACAATCCATTCTCGTTATGATGGGAAATCATTGCAGGTTTTGTCTAAGGGAATGACGTGAATATGGTGAGAGTTTGAGGATGCAAGCCAAATGACTTAGCTGAGAGTATGTGTTTCCTGCTGAAGATTAGGAAGATATATGATAGACAGGAAGGCCAACCCTTCCTGGTGTCCTTTACCACACTCGAGACAACAAGAGAATGAGAAAGTTATGACAAGATGTAGATGCTGGACATCTGGCCAGCTTCTTTCTCCATCTGTGAAACTCTGTTCTAATCAGTGGTACAAAAATGCATGTTTATGAGTCTAGTTCAAGCCATTGAAAAATCAAATAATTCTGTGCATCACGAATCTTTAGGATCCTTTTCAAGGCCAAACCATCAATGTCCCATTTTTGAATGTCAACAATAAAAAGTCACCTTCTCAGACTGAGCCTTCAAGGTCCCCCCAAAAGGGAAAGGCAAGGCCAGGTCAACTGGATACATCCTCCTGGAGTTTCACTCTCCCTTAAAAATGGGAAGGGGGAGTTAAATTAGTTCAACAGCAACTTGGGAGATTCTCCACATATCAAATGTGCACTTATGTACAGTGATAGAATATAAAATCTAGGTAGATTTTTAAGCTACAGAAGGGGCATCAAAGACCCTGTGAGGTTACATTAGTGTCAAGGCTCCATCACTCACTGATTGTTGCATGAACAGTAAGGTTCAGAATGGGAATTCAGAGGGCAAATTGAGAGTTCAAGAGGAAAAGAAAGTAGGGCCAGGGATTTAGCTCAGTGGTTCTGCTGCCTGCCTTGCAAGCACAAGGTCCTGAGTTTGATCCCCGGTACCAAAAAAAAAAAAAAAAAAAAAGAAGAGAGAGAGAGAAAAAGAAAGTTATCGGGGCTATATAATTTAAGTGGAGTATGTCAAATTATGCCAAGTATGTATAGTTCAGTGAATTTAAGAAGACACACAAACCAAAGAAAATTGCAGAATCTTTTCTCCTCCTTGTTATATGAACAAAAATAAGAAATGGAATTTGATCAAAAGGGAAAAAGTCAAATTGAGGGCAGACACTGAATGTTCCATACCAAAGATGTTATAGTGAACAAAACCACATAGAGTTAAACGAGAAGTAGACACAGAGTGACATGGGATCTGATTGCTCCATCTTGGCACACAAGGTCAGAGACGAAAGGACTGATCGAGTGGCAGGGCCTGGCCTGAGCCACATACTCCCAGTCTCTAGATACTGTTTATGGCTTCTCCTACTGGATCTTGTCCAGGGAAAGTAGGTAATAAATTATGTAGCTGTGTTCCCACATTGTCTTGCCTCGTTTTACAAGTTGGTGTCGCTTTGAGTCAAAGTTTTGAGAGCTTTAATTCCAAAAGGCAAAAGCTAATGCTGTTTTATGGCCTGGAACTTCAGGTAACCACTGAGGCTTTTTTCTATACTCCTAGTTTTTCCCATGAGATTGGGTCTATCCCCAGGGCAAGGTTCAATGGTACTAACTTTCCTCTTCATAGAAAGAGAGAACCGTAACAGAGGTATAAATCCATACTCTAAAGGCTACATTAAAATAGGAAAGTTAGAACTGTTTTTCTTTTTCTGTCTTTTCCAAATTGATTCAATGTTGACAGGCTTCTCTTATAAGTTTTCTTTAAGTTTAAAGAGAATATTTATTGGTCAGCTATAATAGGGTACTAGGCACAGAGGGTGTAAGAAAGAACCAGAGGTTGTATTTCTTGTCTTAAAGGAATTAACACTATTGTTGAAGCAATGAGACACAAAATAAAGAAACTAGAGAAGGGGTAAAAGTGGCCAAAATGGAATAAATTTGCAACATCTTGGTTTAGAGTTAAGAGTGTGAGGCATTAAGTAAGCTAAAGATCTTCGAAACATCTTGCTCCATGCAAGGAACCCCATTGGAAAGATCCTAGTGGCTAAATTAGCTTGAGCACTATAAATGGTTGATGAAGCCCCAGTGTTGGGATCTCTCATAAAATGGCTACAGAGACCATTGTCAACTGGCTTTTAGTATGTAGCTTTGTGCACTTAAAATCTTATCAGTATTTTTGTATCTTACAAATTGAAAAACAAGGCAACCCCTGAAAAGGCTTTGTTATTTTTACTGACTTGTCTCTCAGTGGTGAAGGCATAACATAAGCCTGATGACTTTTGTGGGAAGGCATAGAAAATTAGTTCAAGGTCATTGATCAGTAATGAGCTTAAATAATCAAAGCTTCTTTTGGCCATTTTGGTACAGTGGGACCAAGGTTTCTGAGAATGTATCCAACCAGGAAACCTGCCTTAGCATCTCTCTGACAAATCCCTGGCTTGGGGACACCTCAGCAGGTTAAATCTACCAGCAATACAGTACTCATTAAGTAGAATAAAAAACTGTCTAATGAGTCCTTAAGATCTGATGTGGGAGAATGAATGTATTAATTGCACATTTGGGTCACCATCCATCTTGGTATACTTGCCAGATTTGATATTCTTCATAAAAGTTTAGGTGAAATGGAGCATGAAGCAGGGGAGAGAGTCTATGTGAACACACGCTGCTATCATTCACAAAATTGCCTTATTCTTAATGTTTTTGACATGCCCCATTCTATTATAATTTATCTCCCCGAAATTCTTAATATGCTACTGTTATCTGTGGTTATGTCTGAATATTTGAGAGAATGTTACATCCCTGGCATCAAGAAGTCATAATATAAGCCCCACTTTTGCATATGTGCAACATATAAGCATGAGAAGCTATTCTAATAGCTCAAGCTATTCTGTGCCATCCCCAAGACAATCGGGGCAGATGCAAGTTAGCTATATGCCCTTATTTTCAAATAAGACAGTTTTGGAGTAAAAACTTTTTTTTTGAAAACTATAAAGAATTGTAAGAGGAATGGAGAGAGGCTCAGCTGTGCAGGTGCCTGCAGGCCCCCCCCCCGCCAATATCCCCCACTCCTGCACACACCTCTGGCCTCCTGGCTGGGCAGGTACCTGGATTCATACCACGGAGGCACAGGAGGTCATTTTAAAGTCCATTGTTCTGAGCTCTAGCCTCAACCTTGATTTAATTCACACAGTTAAACTACCACAAATTGTCATAACTACCACAAATTGTCATTTTTTCTAAGCTGTGCAATGCTCTTGTGTTGCTGATTGTATCAATTGAGCTAAAAGGTTGTGATTGATTGAATCAGTTGTTCTTCCTGATATTATGAAAATAAGAGTGTCTCTGAGTCAGTAAAGACTCAAAACCTAAAGACAAGCTATAACAGCAAGATTGAAGTATTAACCCAGGAATTAAACCAAGGATAGCCCAACAACAAAAATAGAAATGAGAAGACATTCAAGCAAGGCACAAGCACAAACAAAGGCTGTCTGTTCATTAAAGGGAAATTCTGAAGGAAATGGGGTGGAAAAGTCTGATAGTCAACCACCTGGACATCTTGAACTGATAGCACAGGAAGTAGCAAAACAGATGAATGAGGTTCTAGAAAAATTCAAAACAGATATAATTTCTGAGATAACTACAGAGATGGTGAGCAGAATGAAAGACGTGATTAGAGACTCTAGAAGAGAAACAGATAAAAATATACATGAGCTCAGGGCCATGATAGAAGCCATGAATACCCAACACAGAAAAGAAATGGAAACCATGAATGACCAACACAGGAAAGACATGGAATCCATGAACAGATTCAAACAGATATCAAGGAGATTAAAAACTCTATTGAAAGTACACATAACAGACTGACCCAATCTGAAGACAGGATATCAGCTATAGAAGACAGGATGTTGGTCAGTGACCATGAAAAGAGGGATCTCTTGAAAAAGATAAGGGAACATGAGAAATCAATCCAACAGCTCCTAGATGACGCAAAGAAGAATAATATAAGACTGATAGGAGTCCATGAAAAAGCAGGAGAAAGTACAAGTGATATAAAAAAAAACTATTCACAGAATTAACGACAGAAAACTTTCCAGAGTAAAAGAATTTGACATACATATAAGTGAGGCTTATAGGAATCCAAATAGCCATGATCACACACACACACAAAAAAAATCTATACCTAGACATGTAATAATCAAAATCCCAGAAACTCAACAGAAGAATGAAATACTATAAGCAATTAGAGAAAAGAAACAAATCACATGCAAAGGAAAGCCCATCAGAATCACAGCAGACTTTTCAACCCAAACCCTCAAGTCAAGGAGATCCTGGAGTGAAGTATTTCAAGACCTAAAAGAAAACAACCGCCAACCTTGACTGATGTATCCTGCAAAACTCTCCTTTAAAACTGATGGGGAAATAAGATACTTCCATGAAAAAGAACACCTGATAAACTTCATGAATACGAAACTAGCATTTCAAACAATTCTAAATAATACCCTAGAAAAAGACAATGAAGAGGCCCTACAGAGCAAATCCAGCAGGCAAGGCAAGAAATTAAAGAGAGGGGGAAAAAGTTAAAAAGAGCCAACAACAGGAAAATAACATGATGATGAAAAGTCAATATATATCAGATATAACCATCAATGTTAATGGCAAAATCCAATAATATGTTGTATACAAGAAATGCACCCAGTTCAAATAGAAACTCAGACTGAGAGTAAAAGGATGGAAAACAGTTCTCCACATGACAGGAGCCCAGAAAAAAGCAGGGGTAGCTATTTTATTTGCAGACAAAGTAAATTTCAAACCAAAACTAATTAAGAGAGACAAAGAAGGTCACTACATCCTTGTAAAGGAACAACAAGAGAAAGAGATGACAATCATAAATACATATGCATCAAATACTAATGCCCCCAACTATACAAAAAAATATTAAGGGACATGAAAAACCAAATAAGCACTAGTGCAATTGTAGTGGGGGACCTCAATACCCCACTGTCACAAATACACAGATAATATAGACAAAAAATCAACAACAAAATACTAGAAGTGAACCAAGCTTTTGAACAAATTGACTTAGATATCTACAGTGTTCCACTCCAGAAAATCAGAATATATACTCTTTTTGACTGCACATGGGTCATTCTGCAAAGTAGACTACATACTAGCTCATAGAACATGTTTAAGTAAATGCAAAGGATTTGAAATTATCCCATGTATATTATCAGACCATAGTGTAATTAAATTGGAAATCAATAGCAAAAGAAACCAAAAGAACTTCACAAGCACATGGAAATTGAATAACACTTTCCCAAAAAACTAATGGGTCACAGAGGAAATTAAAGAAGAAATTAGACAGTTTTTATAATTTAATGATAATGCCAATACAACATACAGGAATCTATGGGACACAATGAATGCAGTTCTATGAGGGAAATTTATAGCAGTGAATGCCCACACTACAAAATCAGAGCAAGCTCAAATAAGTAACCTAATGCTGAATCTTAAGCTTCTAGAAAAAGAAGAGCAAGACAGACCCAAAGCTCACACAAGGAAGGACATTATAAAGATCAGAGCAGAAATCAATGCAAAGGAGACTAAGAATGATACCCCAAAAAATCAACAAAGACTTGGTTTTTTGAAAGAATAAATAAAATCGATAAACCCTTAGCCAACTTTATCAAAAAAGGAAAGAAAAGGCCCATACCCATGCAATTAGAAATGAAGAAGGTGAAGTCAACAGATCCAGGAGAAATCCAGAGGATCATCAGTACTTATTTGAAAATCTATACTCTAATAAAATGGAAAATGCAGAAGAAATGGATAGATTTCTAGATACATATGCATTACCAAAGTTGAATGAAGAAGATACAAAATTCTAAATACCCCAATTACAATCAGTGAAATAGAAAATGTAATTAAAAATTTACCAACAAAGAAAAGCCCAGGTCCTGATGGCTTTACTTATGAATTCTACAAAACATTTAGAGAAGAACTACTGCCACTACTTTTGAAACTTTTCAGTGAAATTGAAAGGGAAGTGGTACTTCCAAATTCATTCCTAGAAGCAAGTGTCACTTTGATTCCAAAACCAGGGAGAGACCCAGTCAAGAAAGAAAACTACAGGCCAATCTCACTAATGAACATAGATGCAAAAATCCTTAATAAGATACTGGCAAACAGAATACAGAGAATCATCAAGAAGATCATACATCCTGACCAAGTTGGATTTATCCCAGGGATGCAAGGATGATTCAACACACATAAATCAATAAATGTAATACACTATATTAACAGTCAAAGATAAAAACCAGATGATCATCTTAGTAGATTCAGAAAAAGCATTTGAAAAAATTCAACATTCATTCATTATAAAAACCTCGCAGAAAACTGGAATAGATGGTCTTTATCTCAACTTGATAAAGGCTATCTATGAAAAAGCAAGAGCCAGTATCATACTAAATGGTCAAAAACTGAAAACCTTCACACTAAAATCGGGAACCAGTCCACTGTTACCACTTCTGTTCAATATAGTTCTGGAAACATTAGCCACAGCAATTAGACAAGAGAAACAAATAAAAGCAATAAAGATAGGAAAGGAAGAAGTTAAACTGTCATTTGATGATGATATGGTATAGAAGACACAAAAAACTCCACCAAAAGGCTTTTAGACTTAATTGACAGTTTCAGTAGAGTAGCCGGATACAAGGTCAACACTCAAAAATCAATAGCCTTCTTTTACACAAATAACAGAATCACTGAGAGAGAAGTTAGAGAAACAATCCCTTTCACAATAGTATTCCAAAAAAATGAAATATCGAGGAATCAATCTAACAAAGGAAGCAAAAGACCTCTACATTGAGAACTACAACACTGAAAAAAGAGATTGAAGAGGATATAAGAAAATAGAAAGACATCCCTTGTTCCTGGGTAGGAAGAACCAATATAGTGAAAATGGCCATACTTCCAAAACTGCTGTACAGATTCAGTGCAATCCTTATTGAAATCCCAACAGTTTATTTCATAGAACTAGCAAAGACAATACAAAAATTTATTTGAAATCAGAAGAGACCCAGAATAGCAAAAGCCATTCTAGGCAACAAAGATATGGCAAGAGAGTATCACAATCCCCAACTTGAAACTATACTACAAAGCCACTGTGATAAAAGCAGCATGGTACTGGCAAAGAAGCAGACCCGAGGATCAGTGGAGTAGATTAGAAGATACAGAAACAACTCCAGACATACTCAGTTACCTCTTTTTTGATGAAGGAGCCAACCATCCTCACTGGAGGAAAAATAACCTCTTTAATAAATGGTGCTGGAAAAACTGGATTTCAGCTTGCCATAGATTAAAACTAGACCCCTATCCTTCACTGTGTACTAAAATAAAATCCAAGTAGATTACAGATTTGAATATTAAAACAGAAACACTAAACATGTTAGAAGAAAATAAACTGGGAAAGTCCCACCTGTGTGCCATTCCTATGGTTCTACTGAAAGACTGCAGAGTAGTTTAACCCAGCATACATCCCTGCCCAAATGCTCCATTCAGGTGCTAGAGATTGTGGTGAGCTCTAAAACATTCATAGCCTTAAACTGGTTTTTGAGAGAAAATTGGATTCATTTATTCAATACAGCTTTTACTGTGTTGTCGTGTGTGTGTGTGTGTGTGTGTGTTTAAACATAAAATGGTAATTTACTTGTTAAGTTTCTCTCCTCTAGAGTTGCTTTTTGGCAAAGAAAAAAAAGGGATGGATGGATATATATATA